CGATGGGCGAAGATGAGCTGCTGCGGGGAGTGGGGTTGGAGCAGGAATTTTTCTTCTCTTGGTTTGCATGCTGTCACCTCGGGACACGCAGCAGGGGATGGAGTCACTCAGTGAGCAGAGCGGTGACACCAGTTTAACTGGGAGAGGGGGTTATTCAAACTCTCTTCAGAGCTTACTTTCGTTGGGGTGCCCCCCTAATTTTCCTTCAAGCCCTTGTCGCTATTAGGACTGGTTTTGTTATTCACCTCAAAGCATGGGCCGAGGTGAGGGCCGAGGCGTGCTCGGGGATGCGGCCACTTAACGGGAATCAAGGCTGGGCGGCGGGAAGCAAAGCAGAGGGGGATGCAGGGCGAGAACTGTCTCGGTCACAGTGTCCCCATTGCCCAGCCGTGACTCGGGACCAGCCTGCCCAGTCCTGGCAGGGCCCTCCCCAGCCAACGCCACGGCCCCCGCGGCTGCTTGGCCTCCAAAGGTGCTTCACTTCCAAAGGTGCTTTGCCTCCAAAAGGTGCTTCGCCTCCAAAGGCAGCCTTGCTGCATGCTGCTGTGGCCTCGGGGTGCTGGTCCCAGTGCCACCCCGCTCCTCTGCCCCCAGGAGACCTCCAGTCATGGGAAAAGAGCCAGGCTTGGAATTCCTCCAGGTCCCCCCTCACCACATCTGGGCCAACACATCTTCTCCATGGGCCACTGCAGCCTACGGAAGACACCTGAATTTCAACTCCAAAAAGCATGTGCTTTCCATTATCACTGTTGTTGTCATTATTATTATTATTATTATTATTTCCAGGCCTTTCTGCATCACAAAGATGGGAAATGTTGTCCAAAGCCATGTTGTTCCCCCCCGGGGGTCACCCATATGGTGCAGGGAGGCGGACAAGCCTCTTGCCCAGGAGCAAACCTCTCTGCCCTGCCAGCCCTCGGGTGTTGCTCTACCATCCGTGGTCTTACCCGCTCAGCAGCCGATCGCAGCTTCTCTGGTGCTCAGCAAATCCCGTTCGGCATCTGAGCGGGCCTTCGTTTCTCTTCCTTCCTTGTGCCATGCTCCGTTCTGACATTTTGGTGAGGGGAGGGGGTGTTTTCACCTTTTTATATAGATATATATATAATGAACAATGTTTAACATACTAACTCTGAGGAGGAGCAACGTAACGGCATGATCTATAATAAAGGAGTAGCTACAATCCCGGGCGCAGCTTCTGGTCCCAGTCTCGTTTCTCCAGCGGCCATGGTGATGCTGATGCCACAGGAGGGGTTTGGGCAGCGGGGGGCTGGGGGGGTTCCCTGCAGCCCAAGTGACCGGAGCGGGTCAGAGAGGCAGGGATTTGCCCAGAGCTGCTGCGTGGAAGCTGTAGGAAGGGGCTTCCCCCTGGCAGACCCCCCCCTCGAGTTGGCTGTGCACCCCAGGGGCACACAGACCCCCGTCTTGGTAACGCTGGTTTGGGATTTTAAAGGGGGAATTGTTTGAAGAGCTACGCGTCTGTGAACGGAAACGTTGCTGATGCTTCCCCAAGCGCCTTGGGCTGGTTCCCCTGGGGACGGACACAAAGGTTTGCAGCATGTCCCATGGCTCTGGAGAACCAGAGGACAAGACCCTTTAGAATCACAGAATCGTTGAGGTTGGAAAAGCCCTTTAAGATCATCAAGTCCCCCCGTCCCCCTACCCCCGCCTTGCCACCACTAAACCCTGGCCCCACGTGGTGTCAGACCTTTCCTTTCCTTGGAGACCTCCCTGCTTTCCCTTCCATCTTGGCCTTCAAACCTCTCTGATCCGCACGCAGGAGGGATGTCCTGCCCAGGCAATGGGGCTGGAGCTGCCCACCCTCTGGGTCAGTGGGGACCATACCAGGCACCGGCAGGATGGGTAGAGGGGAGCGTGGCCCTGGGGTGGGCTGAGCAGCAGCTGGGCGCTCCCAGAACTGCGCTCGGGCCTTGGCTTCCCACCACCGTGTACCGGTTTAATTTGCCTTCTCTTGGCCGCTTTCCACTGGCAGGGGGGTTGACCACTGCCAAGGAGCTGAGCCAGCACCAGTAGAGTCTTGGCGAAGGCTGGAACCGCTCAGGGCCACGGGGTCTCTTCTTCACCCACAGCCTGGCATCAGCATTGGGGCACCTTTGCAATGCGCTGGGGCTCGCACGGGTGGGTTTGCATGCCGTGGCTGTTGCATGAAGACTGGTCCGTGTGTGTGTGCAGGTTCTCCAGTAGCACCAGTTCTGCAGTCATCATGGGGACACCACCTCGGCCGTCCCCCGTGGGGAGTCCAGCTCTCACACCCCGCACAGCTCCAGAGATGGTCTTTGTGAAATGGCTTCAGCCAGTTTATAGCCAAAATATTTCCTCAAGTCTGGCTTTTTTTACTCGGAAGGCTTGGAAAAAAAAGCAGCAACTAAAAGCATCTTGCTCCTAAAACCACCTTAAAGCAGAGCATCCCCCAGCCGTGACTGGCCACCCCTGGGGGGGGGGGGGCACATCAAACTGTCACCTCGTGGGAAGGGGGATTTTGTGGCGGCTTTGAGCATCCCTGCCAGACTCCACCCAGCATCCACCCGCTTACCCCAGTTGGTGACCCCCCCCGCACCAGCAGCACCCATCCGTAGCAGATGTGGGGTCACCCTGGGCAGGGCCACCCCAAGGTCCCCCCTTGGCAGCAGAGCCGCCCTCCTCCTCCTCCCCACCCCCTGCAAACAGGCACGAAATGAGGAAGTGGGAGGAGAAAAAATTAGTTGCAATTTGTAGTTACAGCAGAAACACAAAAGCAAAGCACTTCGAGATGGACCTGGGCCCTCGGTGACAGGAGCCCCAAGCACCCAGTCCCCGGGGGCAAGACACAGGGACGCAATGGTGAGTGCAAGCGGGGCCCGCACTGGGCTCCCCCCTCCCTCCCTTGGGCACACTGGGGATGTCACCCTCTCTTTCCGCCACCTCAAGGCTGTCTCAGCCCTGTCCTCTCCTGCACCCGTTGTGGTCCCTTGCTACTTCCCAGGAGGTGCCAGGAGGCCACCCAATGTCCCTGCTGGAGAGGGGACAGTGCTGCCCAGGCTTGGGGACCAGGAGCGGAGCTGGGGCTGGGTGAGGCAGGGGTGCAGGGGGTGGAGGTGGGGAGCAGCCAGGGATGGGTGCTGAGGGCAGGGTGGGTGCCCCCAGAAGCACTGACCCAAGCAGGATGGAGGGCACCAGGCAGCGAGGCTGGGCCAACAACGAGTGGGTTTGGTTTGGCCATCGCCGGTGTGGTACCCACAGGAGAACCCTGGTGTTCCTCTTGGCCCAACTTCCCACCAGTGCTTCTGGTTTCAGCGTCTGTGGTGCTGGCGGGGTGTGGGCAGGCAGAGGACAGCGGGGTGGCAGGGGCTGCCAGGGGCATGTAAAACCATTAGTTTACAGGAAAGGAAATCAAGAATTACCCCTGCCCTGATGAACTGGGACATAGCCCCATCCCTGGGGGTATTTAAAAGAAGGAGAGATGAGGTGCTTAGGGCCAGGGTTTAGTGGTGGGATGGCAGGGTTAGGTTAATGGTTGGACTCGATGATCTTAAAGGGCTTTTCCAACCAAAGTGATTCTAGGATTCTATGTGGGGAGCAGGGGCCATGGCAGGGCACGGGGCTGCTGAAAGGGCAGCAGCCAGAGCTGGAAGTTGATCTGGAGGCAGAAGAGGAAGATGAAAGCTCTCAAAATTACGGAGATGTGCAGGCACGAAGTGAAGGTCTGCACAGTGCGGCCACAGCCACATCCTTCAGCTCGCGGCGCTGCTCCCTCCGGGTCCCAGGGCGACACTGGCCCCAGCCATTTCCACCCAGCCAGGAAGGGGACGGTGGCCAGGCTGAAATGACGACTTCTCCCACCCATGGTCGCGGTTGCCATCTCTGAGATGCTGGTCGGACGCCGTTCCCCACAAGATGCACTGTCCCCTCCCCACCGCCATCTGAGTCCTGAAGAGGTTTCGTGGCTTCACGAAGGGCCATGGAGTGGCGCAGCCCCGACCCCGACACCCCGACCCCTGCCAGGGCTCAGGTCCAGCGCCAGCCCCCATCCCCAAAACACTGGGGAAAATGCCCAATCCCCAAACACTGCCTGGGAGCTGGCGGGGTTGTGACAGTGATGCAACACCCCGCGCTCCTCTTCTCAAGGTTTCCGGTGGTTTTAAGGTGTTGACTGCAATCTGGGCTTGCCCTGTCTTGAGACAAAAGGTGCCACCTTGAGCTGCATCCGCTCCACGCTTGGGGCTTGCAGGGTGGTTTTTTTGGTGGCTCAAACCTGAGCTTTGAAGAAAAACAGATAATATTTTGCAATCTTCAGGGCTGCTCCCCTCCCTGCCTCAGCGATCCTGCCAGGAGCACCGGGTGCATCCTCAGCTGGGGCGGCTGCTGGGGGTGCTGGCGGGGGGTCCCCACACACGCACCCTTCCTGCACGGGGCCACCGGCAGAGCAAAGCCACTCGT